CCTGCTCATCCCATCCCCAATTCCTACTCATCCCACCCCCCAATCCCTGCTCATCCCATCCCCAATTCCTGCTCATCCCACCCCCCAATCCCTTCTCATCCCACCCCCCATCCTTCCTCATCCCACCCCCTCTCCTCCGCAGGGGCTCCAGCGCTGAGGGGGCTCGGGGGGCTCTGGCAGAGGGGGTTGGGAAGGAGGATGCTGGAAATGGGGGCTGCTCCTCTGCCATGCCAGCCCCTTCCCAGGCAGCCCCGCTCCCGAGAGCCGCCCCAGCCGCCCGCAGTGCCCCCGGCCCGCGGGGACCACGCCGGGCACATGGCGGGAGCAGCCCCGGCCCTGCTCACACGCCATCAGAGCCGAGCAGGGAGGGAGGGAGCAGCTGGGTTGCCATGGAGGAGAGGAAGCAGCTGAGGGAGAAAACCTTTCCAGGCAGGGAGGAATCAGTGGGGGACGCGGGCAGGGGCTGCCGGGCTCGCCAGGGGCGGGGGGAGCATCTCGGCACGGTTTGGAGGGGCCGCATCTGCCTCTCCATTGAGCTGGGGGAAGGAAACCTCCTCCCCTTCTCCGTCCCTGTGGATGCTCAGCCTCCGGGGCCTCCTCCTCGCTCCCTCTGCTCCGCAGCAGCCACCTTTGGGTTCCACAAGGACCAACCTGTCCCCTCGGAGCGATGCTCCCTCCTGCTCTCGGGCCTGGTCCTGCCTTCCCAGCCGCCTGCGCTGCCTTACGCTGCTCTGTGCTGATAACCCCATAAATCCCTCGCTCCTGCCACCTACTCTTTAGATTAAACAAACCGGCCCAGGAGAAGCGGGAAGACAGGCGGGGGGGGCTTAGATCTTAAAAAAAAAAAAATATATATAAATGTATATATATTAAAAAAAAAAAAAATAAAAGCTCTTCACGCCCAGAAAATCCAGCCTGATGGCAGCTGGAGAAGGATCCCAGCCGCACCTCCTGGCAGAGGGATGGGGAAGGAGGAGGGGAAGGAATCGTGGAGCAGAAGTTGAAGAGCCTGTTGGGCAGGGGTGCGGGCCGGGAGGGATGTGCGGGCTCCTCCTTAGCCCCGACCCGCCGCGGGGCTGCTCTGAACCCCACCCCGGGGCTGCCATTGAGGAAAGTCCCCCCCTTCCTTCCTGGGATGCATAATAAAAGGAAGTGATAAAGGAAAGGAAGGAGGGAGGTGCAGGAGAAAGAAAAGAGGCAGGAAGGGCACCATCAGGGCTTTGTGAAGCCCCCGTCCTGGGGCTGGGGGGCGGTGTAATAAAACCCCTCGTGGAGCCGGCGCTGCAGGCGGGCTGCGGGGCACCGTGCTGGGGGGCTCGCCTGAGCCCCCAGCCCCGCAACTTCGCCCCGACCCGCGGGTGCGCGGCCCCCACGCACCTTGCACGGTGCCTGTCCCGGGGCTGTCCCGGGGCTGTCCCGGGAACGTGCGGGGCCCCGAGCGCCGTGCGGGGCGTTTGCATCACCCGCAGCCCAATAAGTGGAGCGAAGTCGCTCGGCGGTGGGAGCGGGGACCCCCGCCCGGCCCACCCCCCCAGGTGCATCACGCTGCTATTAACAATAATTAATAGCGATAATAAAGCCCAGCTCGGGCAGGCGCACGCGGCCCGTCCCCGCATGCGGCCGGGGGAAGCGAAGCCCCGGCCCCCGCGGCAGAAGGAAGAGGAAGGTGGCACTCACAGTCAGCTTGATCCCGGAGCCGGGCGTTCGCCGTGGGTTTCGGGGCCGGTTTTCGATGGTTTTGTTTTTTTCCCGGCGGGTCTGTGTTGCGGAGCGAAGGGACCCCCCGCCCGCGGCGACTGCGGATCTGCAAGGAGAAGAGAGAGGCTGCGGCTCAGCCCCGCATCCCCGCCAGGCCCCGCGGATTTATATAAATAATAAAGAGAGCGAGAGAAAAAAAAAAAAAATTGCTCCAGGAGGAAGGAAGCTGGGTCAAAATCATTTGCAAGGGAACGAGGGGGGAATAAAAAAAAAAAAAAAAAAAGGGGGGGGGGAAGGGGGGGGGGGGGGGGGGGAAAAAAAAAAAACGGAGCGAGCTCCTAGCCTTACTGGAGGGGATCCAGCTGCTAAAAATAGCAAAATCACACTCGAAATTAAATAAGGGCAAACAGGCGAAGGGAGCTCCCAGCGCCGGCGGAGCGGGGGAGGCGGAGCCGGGGCCGCATCACGGCGGGGGCGGCGCGGGGCGGCGCGGCCGGGAGCGATAGGACCGTTCAAAGCGCTGCGGCGGCGGCTGCGCCCCTGCCCGCCCTGCCCGCCCCGGGTCCCCCCCCGGCGGGTGGAGATCAGGCCGGGGAGGATGGAGAGGATGGAGACACCCTCATCCCCCCCTCTGCCAACGCTCCCGGCCGGGGTCGTGGCGGTGACCCCCGGCTGGGTGACCCCACTGTGGGTGACCCCCCCCCACTATCACCATCGTCACACCCGTGGCTCTCCCCTTTCCGTATTTTGGGGTTTGGTGGCCCCGCGGGGGCAATCGCCATGTGCCGGTGGCCGGAGCACGATGCTCCTTCTGTTTGCTGCCTCCCCACCAGGTCAGCTCCCCAAAAAAGCTTCTGCTCCCCGGGTCGGGGGGCTCCCTCCCCGGGGCTCCTCGGATGCTGCTGCGGTGTTCATTGAATGAGTTACCGCAGCACCACGGCCGAAAGGGGAGGCTGGTGTGGGAGCAGGTTCTGCTGGGTGCACAGTGAGGTTTGGGGGCTCCTGGGGGCCCCCGAGGCTCTCCGGGGCTTTAGGGAGGTGCTGGGCTCAGTCTGCAGGGAAGAGCTTTGTTCAGAATTCCTCTGCTCGGTTTGGAAGTGCTTTGTGTCGTTGTGGAGTCAGCTGAGATCAGCTCTCGGGTGAGGTGCCCCAAAACCCAGGTCCCTCCCTGTGTCAGGGCAGTGTTTCCAACACAAGTTGAGCATTTGGGGTCTTGTGGTGCTTTTCCTCGATGAGATACTGGGAAATCCAGAGCTCAGCATCCCGTTGTGTGAAGTTTTTGCAAACTCCTGTGCAAACAATAACAAACCTAATGGAAACTGATTTGGGTGCTTTTGACCATCTTGACTCTAAGGGCTGAACTCTGAAGTGAGGATCTGAACTTCAGACAGCTGGATTTAAGTTTCAGAAAAGTTTTTATTAAAATATTAAAAAAAAAAAAGGAGAGCCTTAAGATGATGAAATGTGAAAGTATCAACATCTGCCTGTGCAAAACTGCTCTAGCAGGGAATGTTGGTGAAGAAAAACAAATCAAACCCAGCCAGGCTTGGGGCACTTGTTTCTGCTAATTGTTATTTGGATTTTTCAAATCCCCTGCAAATTCCTCTGCCTAAAACACAATCGGAGCAGTGACCCTTTCTGACAATTAAAAAATAAAAGCCAAGATGGGGGCGAACCCTCCTGCAAGAGGGTTTCCTGTTCCCAAACAGCTGCAGGAAGAGCAGGCACCCCCTGCCTGCACCCCGTGCACCTCCTGATCCAAGCCCCCATCCCAGGGCCTTGTGTCCAGCCAGGGGTTGTTTGCAAACCCTTTTTTTTTGGGGCTAAAATTAGTGTTTCCCCACCTGCAGGCAGCCCTGCCTGGGTTTGAATATGTCAGGGTGCCTTTTACCCCAACGCTTCTGCTCAGGCTCGTGAGCCCAATGAGGAACTTGGTTTGTGTGCTGGCAGAGGCTCGTTGTTATTAATATCCCTCCTTATTTACTGTGCAGCAGCCCGAGTTCTGCAAACCACCGGGGCTGCTCTGCTTCAATCCCTCAAAGTTTCAGCAGTTTCCCACTCTCAGAGCCCACGCTGGAGTCTCCCCACACCGAGTTCACCCGTGGGGCGTCCACTTGGTCTTTAAAGAAGAAAAACAGAGCTGGAGGAATGCCCCAGAACTAGAGAGAGGTGGGGAGACGGCCTAGCAGCCAGGTACAGGCACACAGCCACGTGCAAGGAGGGCAAAACAGCGAAAAAACCGCGCTGGAGCAGAGCCCGGGGCTGCAGTCTGAGAAGAACATTTTCACTTTTGTTTCTGCACTTGGGTTCCTGATTTACGGCTCGCGGCTGAGTGGGTTTGGGAGCAGGACTGGGCAAGCTCCCCCATCCCGCCGTTGAGTTCTGCAGCCAGGGAAGAAGCTGAAAATGGCTGGAAACGGGGAAACGAATGATTTATTATCCCCCCACATCGCAGCTGAGCCCAACGCGGGGCACGGCGGGGCAGCCCGGGCCGTGCCGGGGTGGCATCGCCCGGAGCCGGTGTCCCGGAGTGCCCGAGGAGCCGGGAGCCCTCCGGGATGCCAGCAGGGATGTCCCGGTGGTCCCGGAGCTCACGGGAGCCCCCCGGGATGCCAGCAGGGATGTCCCGGAGCTCACGGGAACCCCCCGGGATGCCAGCAGGGATGTCCTGGTGGTCCCGGAGCTCACGGGAACCCCCCGGGATGCCAGCAGGGATGTCCCGGTGGTCCCGGAGCTCACGGGAGCCCCCCGGGATGCCAGCAGGGATGTCCCGGT